GCTTTTTTCTTTTTGCTTATGTGGTGCTGAGGAATTGAACCCAGGGCCTCATGCATGCAAGGCAAGCGCTCTACCACTGAGCCACCTTCCCAGCCCCATCCTGTATCTTTTATATGCACATCTGATCTACCTATAGCCTCAATTAATTAATTGCTTTCTCCATCTTTTTTTCTCCCTCCTTTAGGAGTGCCTCTTTAGATGTGGAGCCTATCTACACATTTAGGGCCCACATGTAAGTTCTATTGAATTAATAGTAGCTGTAGTTATTAATAATTATTAATGTTAATACTATTTAAATGTATATATTTACCTAGAAGTTTTTTAATAACAAAAATTCACAGAGTAGTGGGAATAGAGATTTGAATTCTTAGATTTATAAGTAACTTTCTCCCTCTCTTTCTTACAGTGGGCCTGTTTTGTCATTAGCTATTAGTTCTAATGGAGAACAGTGTTTTAGTGGTGGTGTTGATGCAACCATTCAGTGGTGGAATATGCCTAGTCCTAATGTGGATCCCTATGATACATATGGTAAGTAAAACTGTCAGAGCATATTTTTTAAGTAAATGTAGCTAACAAGAAGTAAATACTTAAAATGTTACTACAGAGTTGTTTATTAACATTTTTCAGTCTCTTTATTCAGTTCTTCCATTTGCTAGTAGGTTGCTTTATCAAAGAGAAAAATTAAATTTCCTACCAGGAATATTTAAGCCTGTGAAGAATAGTGCCTTATATTGTCTAAAACTCTATTAATAATCAGTGATTATTAACAACAAGGAGGGAAAAACAAAATATCTTAAGTGTTTAAACTCAAGATAGTGCATGTAATTTTTGGCGGGGACAGAGGGATTGGTACTGGGATATGAATTCAGGGCTTTTGCACTTGATTAGAGTACTTGCTTGCAGTATACTCTACTTGAATCACACCTTCATCTTGTAGTATTGAGACTTCATCTTCACTTAACCAAGGAAATAAAAGGCTGGAGGCTTAAATGATAGCGTCAGCCAAGAGCAAGTAAACTGAAGGAAAGCTTGAGAACTTGAATTCAAGCCCTGGTACTGACAAAAAAGGAAAGGAAAAAAAAAAGGTGGCTATTACTACCAGGTGCCATGGCTCATCCTTGTAATTCTAGCTACAGGGGAAATATTTCAAGTTTGAGGCTCTGAGTTCAAACCCTAGATCTATTCTCCCTTTCCCCAGTTTTTTAAATAAACAGGTAACTGTGAATCTTGTAAAGGCTGCTCTAATATAGTGGTCTAGTAAGTAGATTAGGGTGGTGTTAGAGCAGATAAAATAAGGAAGTAGGTGTCACTAGATTCTTGGGAAGGTAGAGTAGAACAATTTGTTGATAAATCATGTTGAATGAAATTGTATATTTGAGATTGGATTTTAAAGTATATCATATCTTTTACTATGTGTGAGGGAGAGGAGATAAGAGATCACCCTTGATGTAGCTCAGGCAGGCCTGTGACTCACAAGGTAGTTCAAGTTGACCTTGAACTGGCCTCTGCATTCTGAGTGTTGGAATTACAGATGTGTACCACCACAAATTTAATTATATGGAAAAATTTCTTTACCAGGCTTCTTTCAGCTTATCTTTGTTTTCTTCTTTCTTCCTAGAATCAAATATTCTAGCTGGCACTTTAGTTGCTCATACAAATGCAGTCTGGGGTCTTGCCTACAGTGGCATAAAAAATCAGTTACTATCTTGTTCAGCAGATGGCACTATTAGATTATGGAATCCACAAGAAAAATTGCCATGTATTTGCACTTACAATGGAGACAAGGGTAAGTTAATTTAAAAATAGAAATTGGGAGTTAAAAAAAAAAAGGAAGTGGCTCTGTAGCTCAAGTGGTAGAGCACTAGCCTTGAGCTGAAGAGCTGAGGGACAGCACTCAGGCCCAGAGTTCAAACCCCACAATTGACCAAAAAAAAAACAAACCCAGCCAATTTGTAATTTCTTCTCTACTCCAAAGGGATATATTGGAAAAATTTTATAAGAATTTATAGTAATATTTTGTTTGGTAGTTTTTTTACTTAAAGTATCTTGCAAATTTATACTGTAGCTCAAGGCTTTCTAACCTTTTAAAGATCATGTTCCATTTTAAAAATTAAAGTATTCATAAAGAATACTGGGGTTGGCAAATAATGTTACTCATAGGGACAACAGGAGGCAACCCAGTTTTGTGGGTGTAATTACCCACAAAACTGAAGGTGTAGTAGTCTCAAACAGTCTAGACACTATGCCTGCCATAATGCTTAGCACACTTTGGGAAATCCTGACATAATCAGTAAAATTGCACCCTTGCCATAGGCACCAGTTGGATTGCTTTCATGCTTTCAGATCTTTTTCCTAGTAAAAAAAAAGGCTTTTAGCCAGTTTGGTTTTTTTTTTGTTCGTTGGTTGGTCAAGAAGCTTGAACTCTGGGTCTGTACTCTACCACTTTAGCCACAGCGGTTTTCTAGTGGTCTATTGGAGATAAGAGCCTCAGATCTCAGCCTCCTGAATAGCTAGGATTATAGGCACTGGTGCTCAGCTCCAATTTATCTTCTGAATGCATATATATTTTTGACTAATCTTTAAATATTTTTAATCAGTCCTTTTGTTTTTATTTCAATATATTATTTTAAAACCATCTAGGTGAGTAATAATGTGCTCACTTTTGTGTATCTTTTTGATACACTCATTTTATTAATACTTCAGTTAATCTAGGCTTTATAAAACTGTAATATATACTTGTATATGTTAGTATTTAAACATGTTTCTGGCTTTATTCAGATAATTAACTTAGTATGTTAAAGAAGTTGCTGCCAGGCACTGGTGGCTCACGTTTGTAGCTAGTCGGGAGGCTGAGATCTGAGGATCATGGTTCAAAGCCAGCCCAGCCCAAGCAGGAAAGTCTGCGAGACTCTAATCTCCAATAAACCACTAGAAAGCCAGAATTGGCCCTATGGCTCAAGTGGTAGAGCACTAGCCTTGAGCTGAAGAGCTGAGGGACAGTGCCTAGGCCCAGAGTTCAAGTCCTACAACGACAAAAAAAAAAAAAAAAAAGTTGCTGCCTAGACCAATTTGATCTTCATTTTTACATCTAAAATTTGACTTGAAGCAAGAGCTAGTGGCTGATGGATGCCTGTCTGTAATTGTAGCTATTCAGGAGGCATGAGATCTGAAGATCATGGTTTTGAAGCAAGGCAGGGCATTAAAAGTCCATAAGACTCCTTGTCTTCAATTAAAAGCAAAAATAGGGAACTGGAGACACATGGCTCAAGTGGTAGAGTGGTGGTTTTGAGCAAAATCCTAAGCAAGAGCCACAGTACTTGAATTCAAGCCTCAGTAACAGCAACAAAAATTTTTTTTTTACTTGTATTAACTACTTGATAAGACTTATATATTTGACATGGAAAGGTATCTCCCAAGATGCAGATTTGAAAATACCATATTTTCATTTACTCTTAAAAAAGTGACAAGATTTTATTTTACTTTTGAAGAAAATGCATACAATAATTAACAAATCAATTAATTGAAAGACTGGTATCCCAAATTCTGGTATTACAGGTATATGCCACCATACCTGACTAGTAATTTATGTATAAATCTACTCTTCATTTGTAGTTTTCCTATAATGTTAAAAAGAATGTTACCAATAAAAATTGAACAAAAGTTGCTTTCTTTTGGGGGGGGACAGGTTTCAATATCGGGGTTTGAACTCCAAGTCTTAAACATGCTAATTAAGCAGGAGCTCTGCCATTAGAGCCATGCCCCTGTCCCTTTTTGCTTTAGTTTCCTTTCAGCTAGTCTTCTATTTTATGGCTATGGTTTTCTGAACCATGATCCTCTTACTTAAAATTAAGGCTTCCGTGTAATTGGGATTGCCATGTGTAACCCACTGCACTCAGCTTTTTTGCTATGAGGTCTTGTTGAGTCTCCGGTTTCCAAGTAGCTGGAATTAAAGATATGAATGAGGGGCTGGGAAGCTGGCTCAGTGGTAGAGCGCTTGCCTTGCATGCCAGAGGCCCTGGGTTCCATTCCTCAGCACCACATAAGCAAAAAGAAAAAAGCCGGAAGTGGCGCTGTGGCTCAATGGTAGAGCACTAGGCTTGAGCTGAAGAGCTGAGGGACAGTGCCCAGGCCCAGAGTTCAGGCCCCACTACCGGACCCAAAAAAAAAAAAAAGATATGAATGATACCTGTTTCTGCTTCCTAACACAATTTGTTCCTTTCTCCCTCTCTCTCTTTATTCTAGCTCAAGAATATTTGAATTTTTCTAATCTAAAAAGTAGAAATTTCAAAATTATTATGTTTATAGTGTATCTTTGGGCTTCTTTCAGAGCATGGAATACCTACATCAGTTGACTTCATAGGCTGTGATCCAGCTCATATGGTGACCTCTTTCAACACTGGCAGTGCAGTAATTTATGATTTAGAAACATCACAGTCATTGGTGATGCTTTCATCACAGGTAGAAGCTGGTAAGTTGTCACTGTTTTCTTTGAAAGTTCTTAAAAAGGACTGTGATATGAAAAAGGGATTATACTTTAGTTATTTTCCTATTGACTGAATTTAAAAATAGAAATGGAAAAATAGATTTATTGTGTTACAATTATTTACATTACGTCTGCTATTTAGACTTAAATGTTTAGTGGGTTAATGGAGAGGAGTGAACGGAGTAATATAAAGATAAAAGCAAAGTAAATAATTTTGAACTTATTTTGAAATATATGTGAAAGTAAAGACAGAAACATAAGGAATCTGGTATGCTCACCAGTATTATATTTAGGATTATGTCAGTATTATAGAATGTTGTTACACAGTTTCTTTAAATAGGTACCTAAAGAAGATGGGTGCATTGTGATTGTGATTGGTTGATAGATAAGGTCTCAGGTCTCTCTTAACCTATACATTTCCTCTAGATCTTGATCTTTTCTTTGTTTCCCTCAGCTTCTTACATAGTTTAGAGGGCAGGAGCATTCTACTGTGTCCAGTTACTAGTTAAGAAAGGGGTCTCATGGACTTTTTGCCCAGTCTGGCCTTGAGCTGAAACCCTCTTGATCCTAGTCTCCCAAGTAGCTAGGATTACAGGCTGAATTACTGGTACCATTATTGTTTTAGTTTCTGGTATGACAAAACATTCTGGGCTCATCTTGGCTTGCTAGGCAGGCCCTCTACCACTTGAGCCACATTCAATAGCCCTTGTTTCTCAGGAAAGGTCTCATGAGTTTTGCCCATCTGGCCTTAGGAAATCCCATTTAAGTAAGGCCTTTCATATAGCACCTGGCAAGCACCCACATCATTTTTATTTTTGTTTTATTTTTTATTTTTATTTTATTTTTTTAGGGACACAGATTTAGTATGTTGGGAAGAGAAGCAGTGATAGCCTAACAACAAGAGAAATACTGCTGCTACACTGAGACAAAATTGGGAGCAAGCTTTTATGGAGGCACTTGGGATTTCATTGTTTCTTTTCCTGGGCCTTGCTTGATTTGTTGTTACTCCTCAGAATATGATTTGAATTTCATGCACTAAGCCCTTATTTTCTCATTCTACCTGGCTCCTGGTATTTTGTTCCTACCTTCAATCCTTAAGAGAGGGACTTGGCCTTCACATTCCTCTTCTGATAGAACCATGGAGTCCTATCTTCTTGGAATTGATTTGAGTATTAGAGGTATCCCTGTGTTTATTTGTTCTGGAAGATGCTTACAGCTTCTAAAAGTATTGGAAGCCTGGTGAGGTGACTCCTGGCACCTGGCCACCAGACAGACTATATTGTAACATCTTGTTGAGAATGTTAATTATGCAAGGTATAATAAGGAAGAGAAGTAATAGGGAAACTAGAGGTTCCCAGAAGTAGAGGAGCCAGGAAAGCCATGATCAGAAATCTTCCCATGAGAAGAGCCATCTAAATTTTGATAGGCCAGGTTGGCTAGTTATGAATGTTAGTCTATAAGTGTCCTGATTTATTAACCCTAGAGCAGGATTCTTTGGCATGTATAACGCAGGTTCCCCTTGGTTGTCTTATCTAAGGTTCTTCTGCTCTGTAGCCATGGTTGCTGGGAAATCCGTTTGTCTTTGTAAGTCCCTAAAGTTTTGTCTATATTTCCTAGACTATTGGCTACTTCTAGTGACAAGTTTTTGTAGATCAGGAAATAAGAAATAATTCGTCTCTTTCTTGTTCCAATGCCTGTCATTTAGCATGGGAGGCCCTCCTGTTTTTAGGAGGTGAGTTTCTGTTGAAGCTGTAGAACTAGTAAGTGACAGAAAGGCAGTGGTAACAGTTGAAAGTTAGACATGGGCTTTAGTTTGCATTAGGTAGAACCAGTTCTTCACAACCTCGAGCTTTAATTTTGGAAAGGCTGATACAAATGAATCCATTTGAATTTTGTCAACTTTTTCTCTTTTCTGGGTTATTTTCCAGTTGTCTGGAAGGTTTTCTCTAAAGGTATCTGCCAATAAGCCACTTGTGGTTTAGGCCTAGCTCATTGATTAAGATGGTAGGGGAAAAGCAAAGGAGGGGTAACAACGCTCAATAGGAAATATACTCATTACCTTTCTCATGTAACTATAACCCCTCTGTACAGTATCTTTACAATAAAATATATTTTTTTAAAAAGATGGTCTCAACTGACTTTTTGCCCAAGCTAATTTGACCCACTGTTCTCCTGATTTATGCTTTGCAAGTAGCTGAGATTACTGAGTCTAGTGAAACCACGAGGCCCACCTAAGAGTTCTTATATACAGCAGAACGGTCAATTTTTTAAAGTGTATTAGCATTCATTTTGGTAAGACTAAAAAGACTTATCATCTAACTTCTAGTTTAAGGTTTGGATTTCATCTTTCCAGTTTTTACAATGCTGGAAGTCAAGTCAGGCCTCCTTATATGCTAAGCAAATATTTTTCCCGTGAGTTACATCCTCAAACCAAATAATTTGAATTCAAAGAATCGTCTTCCTTCATATTTCAGGTTTACAATCCAATAATCATATTAACAGAGTAGTAAGTCATCCTACACTACCTGTTACAATAACTGCTCACGAAGATAGACATATCAAATTTTTTGACAATAAAACGGGTAAGTATGTTGTCTTTTCATATTAATAGTGTAAATTTGTGATTTAAAAATGCTGTGGGATTTTTGTTTGCTTGTTTTGGCCAAGGGGCCTGAACTCGGGGTCTGGGAGCTATCCCTGAGCTCTTTATGCTCTGCATAACTTTGAGCTCCACGACCAGTTTCTGAGTGGTTAATTGGAGATGAAAGTCTCACAGGGACTTTTCTGCCCAGGCTGGTTTTGAACCACAATCCTCAGATCTCAGCCTCTTGAGTAGCCAGGATTACAGGTGTGAGCACTGGCACCTGGCCAAAACACTGTTCTTTTGTATAATGTATGTTGAATTTGAGGCTCTGAAATTTGGGGGAAAAGTAAAAACTTTTTCAAATTATTTTTTATTATTATTGAGAAGCTGGGTATCTTGCTGGACAAGTGTTCTTGTCACTGAGCTATATTCCTGGGCCTTATTAACAGGTGCTAAACCAGCATCAGGATTGCCTAAGGTTTTTTTTTTTGTTTGTTTGTTTTGCTTTGTTTTTGTATATTTTTCTTTTTTCCTCCTTTTTTTTCCCCCTCCTAAACTGGGATTTGAACTCAGAATTTTGTTTCTGATAGGCAGACACTAAAAATTGACCTATGCTCTTCTCCCCACTCCTCATCCCACTATGTTCTTTGTGCTTTATGTTTTCAGATTGGGTCTTAGATTTTTGCCCAGGACTGGCCTCAGAATTCAATCCTCCTACCCATGCCTTCTGTATAGCTGGGGTTATGTGTGCACCACAATGCCCGGCTTGTTTGAGGTGGAGTCTTACTAACTTTTTATTCAGCAACTCGGATTTTTGCTTTTATGTAGTATAGCACATTTGCAATGTGTAGGTTTTACATTTGTATGTAATACCTTGTCTACCTATAATGATTTCTTCATGTCATTTGAATTTTTTTCTTCCTAATCTGTCTTAATGCATATTTCAGGAGAGTTCTTTTGGCATTTCGAATATATTCCTTTAATTTTTTTTAATAATACAGGTGTGATATACAAATAGGTTACAGTTACATAAGTCAGGTAGAAAGTTCATTTCTTTTTGGACAATATCACTCTCTCCCTTGCTCTCTTTAAATATATTCTTTTTTTTTTTTTTTTTTGGTCAGTCCTGGGGCCTGAACTCTGGGCCTGGGTGCTGTTCCTCAGCTCTTCAACTGTAGACTAGCGTTCTACCACTTGAGCCTCAGCCCCACTTGCAGCTTTTTCTGCTTATGTGGTGCTGAGGAATCAAACCAAGGGCCTCATGCATTCAAGGCAAGCACTCTTACCACTGAGCTACCTTCCCAGCACCAATCAAATATATTCTTAAAACATGTTCTTAAAACAGTTTGGTAGGCTGGGTGCTCATGGCTTACTAATTGCTGATCCTAATTACTCAGGCTGAAATTTTAGGATTATGGTTTAAAGTCAGCCTAGGCAGGACATTTCGTGAGATTTCTATTTAATCTCCAGTTAAATCAGTAAAAAGTTGGAAGTAGAATTGTAGCTCAAGTGGTAAAGTGCTAGCCTTGAGCACAAAAGCTTGGGGGCTGTACCCAGGCCCTGAGTTCAACTCACAGGAAGGCACAAACAAAACAGCACAGAGGGGTAATCGGCTGCCTGTGACTCTACCTACTGTAAAGGCTGAGGGTTGAGTGTCATAGTTCACAGTCAGCCAGGGCAGGAAAAGTCAGAAATGGAGCTGTGGCTCAAGCGGTAGAGTGATAGACCTGGGGGGAACCTCCAAAACTTCAGAGATAGCATCCAGGCCCTGAGTTGAAGCCCATGGGATGATGGACATGCTATTGTCATCTTCATAGTATATCTTTTATAAGAAACTTACAAAATTGTGTTGTTTTTAAATCTAGTTTTAGATTTGCTCTAGTATGAAGGAGGTTGATGTGTGGGTGTGGTGTTTGGGGTTTTTGTTTTGTTTTTGTTGGTTGTGGGGCTTTAACTCTGGGCCCTGTCCCTAAGCTCTTCAGCTCAAGGCTAATGTTCTACCACTTGAACCACAGCACCATGTCCAGTTTTCTGTTGGTTTATTGGAGATAACAGTCTCACAGACTTTCTTGCCTGGGCTGGCTTTTTGAACCATGATCCTTAAATCTCAGCCTTCTGAGTAGCTAGTATGAGCTACCAGTACCTGGCTTATATATGGATATTTTAAGGCTTTCTTTTTAATCTGTTGGAATTATGTGAATGACAAACATAAGCATGCTTTGAAATAACTAATTTTACCCTCAGCTGAAAATTGCTTGTTATAAAGCATAATACAACTATAGGTTTTGGAGTATGTTTTTGCTTCATTGATTATGGTTTAGTTTTATATTCAAATCAACATTTATGGCCCCATGACAAGTAACAAAAATAGACCTCTTTCATGCCTCAGTGTAAAATGTTATTAGGAAGCACCAGCACAGCTAGACCTCTACAGAAGGCCTCCCATCTTTAGTTAGGAGCATTCTAGCTGAATGGAAGGGGAATAAACTAAAGTGTCAGTATTTGCCGTGTTACTCCCTTTTGGTATGATGTGTCCATCAGAAATGTCTACTATAGTGCAGAATGGCTTTGCCTCCAAACCTTTGTGCAGCACAACAGCATACTGACAACTTAGTTCTGATTCCAACTTGAGGTTAAGTCCCATTTAAAAATTTTTATGTTTGTATTTATTTTTGAGGGATTAGTGTTAGGGTTTGAAATTCAAGGCCTTGTGTTTGCTAGACAGGTAGTCTACCTTTAAAAAAAAAAAAAAGATCCTGTTTGATACTGGCCTGCATGCTACAGACCAAACTACAAAATCTTGAGGCCAGCTTTGTTATCAATGTTTCTCCTTTTTTCTTTTTTTTGGTCGGTCGTGGGGCCTGAACTCTGGGCCTGGGCGCTGTTCCTCAGCTCTTCAGCTCAAGGCTCATGCTCTACCACTTGAGCCACAGCGCCACTTCCAGCTTTTCTCTGCTTATGTGGTGCTGAAGAATCAAACCCAGGGCCTCATGCATGCAAGGCAAACACTCTACCACTGAGCCAATTTACCAGCCCCTTCCTGTTTCTCCTTTTATAACCAGCAATACTAATGGTCAGATCCAGTGGCAGAAGTAACTGCATGGTTTGGATTCCATTTATTTTCCAAGTCTTCAGTGAGGATATTTATTAAATTATATCTTATGTCACACAGCTATTGTATTTCCCTCCCCACAACCCCTTTCCTGTGTGGAGATGGAACCCATAGTCTTTCACATGCTGGCAAGTGCTCTACCACTTAATCTGTGTCCCACAGCAGCACCCTCCCCACCTTTTGTAGGTTGTGGGGCTTGATCTCAGGGCCTGGGCACCCTGAGTTTTGTCCTCAAGGCTAGCACTCTACCATTGGAGCCACAACCCCAGTTCTGGCTTTTGTTGTTGTAGTTGTTGTTGTTTTTGTTTTATATTTTTGAGTGGTTTTATTGGAATTAAGATTCCCACTGGGTCTTTTCTGCCTGGGCTCACTTCTAACTTCAATCTTCAGATCTCAGCCTTCTGAGTAGTAGCTAGGATTGCAGGTGTGAGCCACCAGCACCTGGCTGTTTGTGTTTTGGGGGGATATAAAGTCTCAACTTTGTCTCTCCCTCTCCCTTCCTCCCCCTCTTTTTTTAAGAGTATATGGGCAGCAGGCATGGTTTTCATGCCTGCAATCCCTGCGCTCAGGAAATGAAGCAGATGGATTACAAGTTCCAGATTAGCTTGGAGTACATAGTAAAACCTTGTCTTAATACAACTATATGGGAAAGTTTATTTCAAAACATTAATTGTAGCAAATGTGCCTTTCAAACATAGTAAAAGAAGCCAGACACAAGAAAAATGTGTGTATGTGTTACTAGGATTTGAACTCAGGACCTTGTATTTGATAGGCTTTGCCCTGGAGCCATACCTTCAGACCTTTTACCTTCAGATTTCTTTTGCATTGGTTATTTTGAGATAGGATCTCCCCTTTCCCCAGGCAAGCTCCTGCTACACGGTCCTCCTGTTTTACCTAGACTGAGATGCTTCCTGACATAGGTGGAGTGATAGGAGTGCCTGAGTGGCTGAGAAAGGCATCTTTTAGGCTTTTTGCCTGATCTGGCTTCAATTCTAACCCTCCTAAGCTCAGCCTCCTGAGTTAGGATATAATTACAGATGTGAATCACTGCCTAGCCTTGCTGAATTCATTTATATGAAATGTCCAGGATAGGTCAGTATATAGAAAGAAATTAATGGGACAAATGAGGAGTGTGGTTGCTTAAATGAGTTCAGGGTTTAATTTGTCAAAGATGAAATGTTCCAAATTAGATAGTGGTGATGGCTGCACATTGTGATTACTCAAAACCCCGCAATTTCATGCTCTCAAATGGTTTTGCCATTCGGTAAGTTTTGTGTCGTGTATGTTTTACCACAACTAAAAGAATATTGCTGTAGTGCTTGTGTATTTTATGTTGATGCCGTATTATAGCATTTCTGTGTCTAACATCAGTACTTTTGAAAACGTAATCTTCTCTGTTATATTCTTTTTATTTAGGTAAAATGATCCATTCTATGGTAGCTCACTTGGATGCTGTTACAAGTCTAGCAGTAGATCCTAATGGAATCTATTTGATGTCTGGAAGTAAGTCGGAACTTGTATAATTACCCATAGCCTTTGTAAAAGAAGTGTTCGTAATAAGTTTTTGTTTGTTATTTACAGGCCATGACTGTTCCATTAGATTATGGAATTTAGACAGCAAGACATGTGTGCAAGAAATAACAGCTCATAGGAAGAAATTGGACGAATCGATTTATGATGTTGCTTTTCATCCATCAAAAGCATACATTGCCAGTGCAGGAGCTGATGCCCTTGCCAAAGTATTTGTGTGAATCAACAGAAACTCACATCAAGAGAAAAACTTGGCTTGGACAGAAAGGGTCTGCATCACTGCCATCCAAAAGGTTATTGATATAACACTAAATGCGATCTGCCTGGTGAAGGCTATTTGAGTCAGGTATAAATTGGTAGTAATCACATCCTAATTTCAGGCTCACTAATTTAACTGTAATTACTGTATTTTGTGGGACAAAAAGAAAAAGGACTCCAGTATTTGTGGCTTGTACTGGATATGAACTGAGCATATGTCTTTTTTTAGGTGTCTTTAAACCAATGTGGAGTCTGATCTTACAAATGAAAAAAAGACTTTTTTGGACTCTGTGTGCTGCCTTAGGGTTAGGAATGTGGTGCTCTGTGGGAGAAGTGAGCTCCGAGAGTAGCTTTTTTTTTTCATCTCTAGTGATCTTATGTTTATCAGTTAAATGCCACAGATTCCCTTTTAAACTTATTTTGCTTTAAAAAAGGAAAAGAAAAGAAAAGAAAGTTTAACTTAAAATATTTTAGCATTAGTTGCACAAAATGTTTGGATAAAATTCTAGTTTTTATAAGTCTTTTTATATATTTAGCCTGTCACAACAGTGCTCAAGATTGTATTGAAGTTTTCTGCATTATACAACCCTAAAACACAGAGATCTCACTGACCCGCCACCCGTAACCACTTTCTTTCCTTCTTTTGCCTAATACAGCTCAGCTAAGTCCTTCCATAAAGATGCTAAATCATCTTCATCATCACATACATGACTTCATGAACCAAGGACTATTAAATGTATAAAAATGAAACTGGAGTTTAGTACTCCACATGAACTCTTTAAAAACTAATCTTGACATCCTATCACTATGTGATATTTTGTACATCTTACTGTATTTACAAGTTTATTTATCAAGGATTATCCATCTTGCTAATGGCCTATTATTTATTTCACTTTTTGTTGGTCTTTATATACTTTTATTAATGTGCTAAAGGAACCTGTATATCTATTTTGGAACTCTTTGAATTGTCTAAAATAGACTAAAAATGAATATTTTATAGTTTAAGTTGCAAACTAAGGTGTTTCCCTAAGATGTGTATCTTGGTTTATCATGATTCCAAGCCTATCTTGTTTAAAATATTTGGAGTAAAACTTTATTTGCATTACAAATAGAACACAAAAATAGTTGAATCAGGATACAGAAATTTGCTGTGTTTGGGCTAATTTTCCCCATTTTGTTTTTTTTAGATGTGCTTAATTTTTTTGGTGTAACTAAAGATTTTGTTTGTGTAATGCATGATTAAGACAATAAAGTATTTTTTCTAGTCTTCCAAAACCTTTTCTGATCAGTTTGCAAGTTTTGATGAGTTTTGTAAGGTTTTTGTTTTACAAACTATGAATCAGCAAATTTTTAAGATTGTACCACAAAGCAAACGTACAGCTGTTGAAAAATAATGTATATAAAATGCATATAATAAATATTAAATTGTGTACCTGTATGTTACCATTGGCCACATCATTTTGTGAATAATAAAGTGCAATACTCTCCACAATTAAAATAGGAGATAGAGATGATTCTTAATGAGTCTTTCATTTTGATGCTGTTCTTTTTATGTTTTATACTGCTTTTCACCTAAAGCATAGAACATGCCAGGTGGCTGGTGGTTCACACCTCACCTGTAATCCTAGCTACTCAGGCAGCTGAAATCTGAGGTTCACGGTTCAAAGCCAGCCTGGGCAAAAAGTTCCTGAGATTGTTTCCTCCAAATACCCTCCTCCCTCCAAAAAAAAAAAAATCACAAGTGTAGCTATAGCTCAAAATAGTAGAGGACTAGCCTTGAGCAGAAGAGCTCAGGGACAGTGCCCAACCCCCTGAGTTCAAGCTCCACAGCCCACAAAAAGGAAAAGAATAACAGTACCACTGTTAAGTATGCCTTTAAAGTATTTCTCCCTGCTTGGCCACTGAAATTTTTTTTTTTTTTAAATTCAGACGTGTATTGGGGGCTGGTAGCTTACATCTGTAATCCTAGCTTTTTTGGAAGCTGAGATCTGAAGGATCTTCCTTCAAAGCCAGCCTAAACAGAAAAGTTTTTCAGATTCTGAAATAACCAGAAAAAAGCAAGAAAAAGTGTGGCTCAAATGGTAGAACACCAAACAAGCAAGCAAGCAAACAGTCTGGAATTCAAAACCCCAGTACCACTCAACAAAATTGTTTACAAAACCCAAGAAACAGAGGTGCAGTTTTACTTACAAATCCTGTTATTTTGCTAAATCTGAATTTCATCTAAGATGATGAATTATGGCAGTGTCCTATTTAGCACCATGTCTGTTTCCATGGGGGGGAATATTCAGAGAAAAAAACTGCAGCATTTATTATTTAAAAGTTACCTTAAATATTAGTATCTTGAAACTTTCTCCTTCAGCTATGTAATACTCTTTTTCTTTGAAGGGAATTGTAAATGCAGTTAGAAGAGGGTACCAGAGAACTTGTATAACGCCTTTGAATGCCTTCTGCAAAAATTAAAGCACCTTCTGTGCTTTCAACATCTCCCAGGGCCAGTTTCAGTTGTTGCTGATGAAATACTTAAGACAGAATTTCTCTATTGTTTTGTGAACTGAATATTCAATTAGTGAACAAATCAAACAGTAAAAGGCACTCTTTCATCTTTTTTAAAATAACTCAAGTTCTCCAAAGCTAGTATTGTTTCTGGCAGCTATCCTAACCCATTGCATCACTGCTTAATTGTAATTTGGTTATTATCATTGCAATGCATAAAAACTTACCTTTTAGAATGTATTAAAATTTGAGATGGATAAAAATTAGTCTATTTTTATTATCTACTTTGGTTGTATTTTATTATATTAAACATTTGGAAGAGACTAAAGGGATGTAAAATGAATGTCTTCATTTTATTTGTGTGCTTCCATTTGTGACTCATGGAAAACAGCAGATTACTGTTAGGACTTTATAAAGAAGGTTTATTATTTGTGTGTGTGTATAAATGCATACACACACTAGCATTTTGGAGATTTTTTTTTTCTTAGTATCCACTGAAAAGTAATGTTTAATGCGTTAAAAGTTATAAATGAGCTAGCATATTTGAAATTTAGACATGCTTGCTAACACTGAATTGTAATACATCTTTCTAAAAATTGTGTTTTAAGTGGGGAATGGTGGTATATGCTGATTTAAACACTGGGGACACTGAGGTAGGAAGATCTTGAGTTCAGGTCCAGTCTGGGCTAGACTACATAGTATATTTAAGGCCCGCCTGAACAAAAGGTAGTGAGACCCTACCTCAAACTAAAAGCAAAAGGGCTGGGTATATAGATCAAGTGCTATGAGTGCTTGCCTCTCATGAGGCCCAGGGTTCAATCCTTGGTATCACCAAAAAGTAAGCAAATCATTCTGTCTCCTTTTAGTTGTTTACCTCTTTATCCTGTTTACTTATAGAAAATAATAGTAACTTAAAGTTATTCCTGCTCTTGTTTGGGGGGTAGCGGGAAGAATATTGGCATTCGAACTCAGGGCCTCATACTTGGTAAGAAGGCACTCTGCCACTTGAGCTACACACCCTGCTCTTACAGTATGAGTGTCCCTGATAACCCAGATTCCTCAAAATTTGATTCTTTATAGAACTGAGCAGCTAATTATTAGAAGCTGGGGTTTTACTATTAAGGGGTTGTATTCCTAGGTGAGAATTTGTGTCCTCTGTACTGGCGAGAAAAATCAGGCTAAGTTTAGCTCTTTCCCACTAACCACCCCCACCCTTTTTTTTTTTTTTTTTTAATTCCAGTCCTGGGCTTGAACGAGGGCCTGCCTGCCTGGGCACTTAGCAGTTAAGCCACACTTCTGGCTTGGTGGTGGTAAACTGGTGATGAGTCTCACAGATTTTCCTTCACCATCTGGCTTCAAACCACTGTGGCATGAGCCACCAGTTCTTGGTATTTTTGATGTTTAACATTTTCCATGTTGCATTAATCAGTCATACGTAGCTTTTTAATAAATGGGAAACAAGAGACATGTCTCTTCCATGTTACCAAGTTTTTGTTAATTTTGAAGGTAATTCAAGTTCTGCTCATGTATATCCCTTTATTCCCTTTTGAGTGAGCAATACAATTGTAAAGACTTAAAGATTTAGTGGACATATCACTCCAACCAGTTAACACCTCTTTCAGGTCCTTCAGATAGAACCAGTACCCCTCTGAAGGGAGGGAGGGGGGAAGGTATGGTTCACAGGTGGAACCAACTTGTTAGGCAAGATGAGGAGAGGCCCTGGTGATCCTTAAGCAAATTAAGGGGTTTCTGATACTCTCTTTGGACATGAACCTCACCAAAAAAAAAAAAAAAACTAGTAATACTAGTTACAAATCACTTACATTGAAGCAAGCTCTCAAAAACATACCAATGATTAATCTGATAATGTTATGCATATAATGGCTAAACAGTCACACTCAGTAAATAACTGAATGAAAAGCTGGTGGTTTGCACCTATATTCCTAGCTACCCAGGGCTGAATGTGAGAACTGAGGTTCAAAGTTAGCTTGGGCAGACTCTTATATCTATCTTTTTCTAGCGGGGCAGATGCTTATCTCCAGTTAACCAGCTAAAAGCCCAAAGTGAATCTATCACTCAAGTGGTAGAGTACCAGCTGTTGAGAGAGGGCTCAAGGCTGGGTGGGATTTCAAACCCTAGTACCAACATATACAACTAAATGAAAGAATAAATATACTTGATATTATTGCAGGATTTCAAAGTACAGTTAAATTGGTCTTCCCATGTAAACTGGTAAATGTAGAATTTTTACCATTTCTAGAGAGGACCACTTGGAATAAGGAATAAGTTACTAGCATTTTTTTGGGGGGGGCGTCCGGTCGTGGAGCCTGAACTCTGGGCCTGGACGCTGTCCCTCAGCTCTTCAGCTCAAGGCTAGCACTCTACCACTTGAGCCACAGCGCCACTTCCGGCTTTTTTTTCTTTTTGCTTATGTGGTGCTGGGAATCGAACCCAGGGCCTCATGCATGCAAGGCAAGTGCTCTACCACTGAGCCACCTTCCCAGCCCATTAGCAATTTTTTAAAAAATATCTAGACGACATTTTTCCCCCTATAATTCTGATACTTGAAAGCTCTTTTCAAAGGCTTTACTGACTTATTAACATGTTCTCAGTCTTGGATGTATTACAGAGTACAAGCCAATATAACTATAAAATTAAGGATATAGGGCTGGGAAGGTGGCTCAGTGGTAGAGCGCTTGCCTTGCATGCCTGAGGCCCTGGGTTCGATTCCTCAGCACCACATAAGTAGAAAAAGCCAGAAGTGGTGCTGTGGCTCAAGTGGAAGAGTGCTAGCCTTGAGCTGAAGAGCTGAGGGACAGCGCCCAAGCCCAGAGTTCAGGCCCCACAACTGGACCCCCCAACCAAAAAAAAAAAAGTATATAAATAGAAAAATACCTGGAAATCCTGCTACTTATTCAGTGTGATATTTTTAGTAATAAGTTAGAAAATACACTATAAAAGAAGCTTGGTATAAGATTACTTTCCTGGGCTGGGAAGATGGCTCAGTGGTAGAGCACTTGCCTTGCATGCCAGAGGCCCTGGGTTCAATTCCTCAGCACCACATAAGCAAAAAGATAAAAGCCGGAAGTGGTGCTGTGGCTCAAGTGGTAGAGCACTAGCTTTGAGCTGAAGAGCTGAGGGACAGCGCCCAGGCCCAGAGTTCAGGCCCCATGACCGGACCCCCCCCCCAAAAAAAAGATTACTTTCCTTACCTATAATTATAATCCTATTGATTGGTTTAAAAGCATCCACTGGGTTTAGATTACTTATATCTAAACTTTAAAAGTTGCTTAAAATTGTTTCCCTTATAGCCAATACAGAATGATTAGAGAAAGGACGTTGCTTTTGTCTTAAGTATCAGATTATTTTATTGAGATAATATTTGCACATCTATAATACATTTAATAGGCATAACTTACAATTTGAATCCATACCTCTTTCCTGAGTTTCTAAGGGCCATGATTATGAAGCTTTAACCATGTGTTTTGAAGAGTTAAAGTCTAAATTTTAATCCAAAGGTGGAAGCTTTAAATGAATGCTTGTGTGTTTAAAACAGCTGTTGGCCTTAAAGTATCTGATTCTAGTATGCTATATAATATTTCAGTATTATGAGAGTACACTTTATATATTAGATCTTGTATTTTACCAGTTGTCAAAATCCACCATTATTGCTGAGATTCTAAGAAATCTCTACAAATGCCTCTAATGACATCAGAAACAATTGGTTCTAATCCTGTGAACTCTCTCGTGAAGAAAGCATGTGACTCCTTTGGTTTAGAGGCCATGTCTTTCAGGTCATCCAGAGGTGCCCAAGCCACACCAACAGAGAAGATGGTGATACCTACAATGGAAGGTATTTTAAAATGAAAAACATGTCCAGTTTATAAAGGTCCATATATATTTTTCATCTCCAAGTATATAGTTGCAGTGCGAATTGCCTAGTAACTTCAGAACTACAATCTCTCCTGTTTGCACAGTCATTGTGGGACCAGTGGCAAACAATTTGGCAATCAAAACCAGAAACTTTGCCATTAGTGTTATTTCCCACATTAATGGATTAATCATAGTCACTGATAATAGAAAAAATAGAAATTAAGTATTCATAACAGTGCACTTTGTAAGCTAATAATGGAAACACAGGTGATACAGAGTATCATTTAAAGTCCTACAACATTTCAGGGCCTAGTGGCTCATGCTGTAGTCCTAAACAACTCAAGAAGCTGACCCCTCAGAGGTCATGTTTTGAAGTCATCTGTGACAGAAAAGACCAAAACCCATCACCAATGAACCAGCAAAGTTCGCACCTGGAGGCATAGTTCAAATGGTTGAGGGCCTGCTGAACAAGCAAGCAAGCTTAAAAACCATGAGTTCAAACTCTGGTTCTGGCACATACACACAAAGTCCTACAACAAATAATAGGGTGAGAAAGGACTGCTTGCTATCATTACTTTAGTTAGACCCTTGGTACCTTGACAGTACATATACTCAAGAATGGCCTATGTGGTATGCAGTGAAAGTTTTCAGATGGTGTATTGTCTGAGGAAGTGAGAAAGGATTTGTATCCTGCACTTTGATCTTTATAGTTATATTGGCAAACTGTCTAGTAGTCAAAAACTGCCATTCTTTAATACTAAAGCAAAAATGTGATCAGTAAAACTGGGAAATGATTTGTATTTGTATTTACAGAGTTACTTCAGTTCCTCCCAGGACCTTTATATGCTTGCTCCTCTTTGTGCTGAAGCCTGGCTCTACTACTTGAGCCACAACTCTGACTTTCTCCTTTTACTGGTTAATTGAAGAAAAGAGTAGAACTTGTCCACCATGGCTGGCTTTGAACTGCAGCCCTCAGATCGCAGCCTCCCTGTGTAGCTAGGCTTACAGGCAGGAGTCACCAACGCCCTATTCCACCTGCCTGCTTGAGTTAGAAGAGTGTATATTTTTGGCTAGGGTGTCAGTGGAATTCACTTCAATAGTACCTACAAAATGTATTAGTTTTAGCTTTTTACTGCTAGGTGAAATTCTTTGTATGTAATGTTTTGTGCTCAGAGTTGGAAAGAAAGACAATATAAACCAGGTTTAGATAATGCAAAAAAAAAATGCTTGAAACAATTCATCACTAGCCAATCCTGTCCTTGCTACCGTCCCTTCCCCCCACCCCAATTGTCAAAACTAATTTCCTGTCCTCTTGGGTTTTCAGATTGTTTAACTCAGGCTCAGTAGGCCCTAAAATTAAAAAAATTAAAAGTTGAGCCTGGCGCAGGTGGCTCACGCCTGTAATCCTAGCTACTCAGGAGGCTGAGATCTGAGGCTCCATGGTTCAGTTCAAAGCCAGCCTGGCAGGAAAGTCCATGAGGCTTGTCTCCAATTAACCACCTGAAAACAGGAAATGGCACTGTGCCTCAAGTGGTAGAGTGCTCACTTTGAGCCGAAAAGCTCAGGGACAGCGCCCAGGCCCAGAGTTCAAGCCTCACAACCACCACCAACAAAAAGAAGTGGTGACCTAGTCCTAAAAATTCCATTTTCTGGCTTTTGTGGATGTTTCATTTCACTATTAAGTGATAAATTTCATCAAACTTTTGCAATGCAGCTCACTTTCCTGAAACTTTAACCACAAGGAGAATATAGAAAGTGAACATTTGACATTAGCTTAAGAATAGTCCTGCTCACATTAAGTTAGTTAAGTAAGCCGAATTTACCAAGTGACAGTATACCCTAGCAGATATTCAATATAATTAGTGTTGGTGTGTAAAAAATTTTTTTTATAAAATTGCAGGTATCTGTTCTCTGTCCTGCTTATAGACAGCATTTCACTAGTATTTATAGAAGTATGTAATGTATATTGAAAAAAGACACCTATGGATAGAAAGGAAAAAGGGAATTAGGAATTCAGTTGGTGGTAGGAGTATGCAAAAGTTAAGGACTGTAAGTCTCCCCTTCCAAGTCTCTCAATTGCAACCCAAAGGGGAACCTCGGGCTTTGGCTGGCTTATTTGATCTCACCAGCACATTATGCTAACATTTTCAGGCCTTTTCCAAAAGTAATATTAAGGTTGAGAATGGAAGTGAGAAAGAAACCTGTTTTAGACCTTTTAAAATTCCAGTTTCATCTCAAGAGGGAAAAATAAACAGTTTAGGAAAGAATTTAAGATAGGATTAAACTCTCCTGGAGATCTTGCCATCTAATAAATCACATGCCAGTCTAAAAACTTACTTGGTAAATAAATGGTAGGCAAGGCTAACCTCATCATTTGGGGGATGTATTTATTCCAAGTGTAAGTCACTTAGGGGAGCACCCTAAGTCCTTAAAACTTTTAATTCTCTCCACAATCCCATGGTTAGGATTGTGGGCCCTCAAGCTAGGTTTGAATCCTTGCTTTGTCTATTTGTAATTCATCCTGGTGAAGTCTTTGTCTGTAGAATGAGATTGCCAGGGGTGCTTTGACAGTTGTATGTGAAGCTCAGAGCAGTTGCCTGCTACACTTCAGGTGTGTTGTTCAATAAAACAGTCAAGGTTTAATGACTCCTCAAATTCATGAGCCCTCCTCAGTCCTCTTCCCATAAAAAGACAAAGGCCTTACCTGCATCATGGGCGGCGGCAGCAGGACCTCGGACATCATCATAGGACTGCCCATCTGTGACTATTACCAGGAAGTTCTTGTTGGGGCTACCCCTTATGGGACCAAATACATTTCTAACAGTGAAGGAAATGGCATCACCAGTAGCCGTCCCACCGCTCATATAGCGGATACTTCTGATCACAGCTAGGACATTTTCTTTGGTGCTATAGTCAGTGAAACTGAATTCTGTGCGTTGATCGTAAGTGAACTGTACAGCAGCTATCTTGGCCCCAATGTCTGAGATCTCGAACGACTTAGCTATGTTGGAAATAAATTCAAGCATGAGACGGAAATTACTATCCCCAACACTGCTGGAGCCGTCAATCAGGAAGGCGATGTTCACTGAGTTGTAACAGGTCTTGCTACACATCATTTGCTCGTGAGTGCAGAGCTTCTGTACCAGAGGCTTTACATATTTTGTGGTGCCAAACCAGTTGGGCATATGATAAGAGAAGAAGCCATTATTCCTACAGACAGCCTAATGGGGGAGACACAGAAAAGATCAGAAGGATCAAAAATGGCTCCAAATTTGTAAAACATTTAAGTCTTGAATGTTCACAGGTAATCAAGAGGTTACACTTAGAGGCTCAAAACCAAATCATGGTACACATCATAACGGATGTGTCTCACCACCTTACCTTGTCCACAAATGCAACATCCTGAACCATCCCCAATTCTTCAGGAATTGGCTTGGCCACAGAAACTATAAAAACATTGACACCAAACTCTCTGGCCACAATGCCTGCTTCCTCGATGTCATCAGAAGGCCAACCATCAATAAACACTACCACCACTTTGGGGATGCCTTTTCTGACTCCAGTGTCTGGTGTGAAGAATTTCTGAGCAGTATGCTTCAAAGCTTTCCCTAGGTTTGAGAAAGAAGCAAACTTGAGCAGCAATTTACCCCTAACTCAAATGACATCTCTGTTTCCCCGGTAACAACTTGATGTCACTAAGTTTAAGGATTTAACTTATATGGAACTCAGTTCTATAACTGATCCCTCAGATAGGGAAAGGTTAATTATTCTTCAGGCCTATTTTTTGTCTTCACAACCCACGTTCTCTCCCCTCCACCTCCTGAAGCTTCAGATTTCCTTACTTCCCATCAATCACCAGTCAGAATCACAAAACTGACTCCTACTCCTGTGGTGTGCTCTTGCCCCCTGCTGACAAATGAGTTCCTCCAAAAGAACAAGGAGTCTCTTCAGAGGGCCACTTGTGCTAATCTATCTGCATTTGTTGCATGAGTCTGTTGGTTTCTAATTACAAACAGCTACTTCTCTATAATGACAACTGATCTATTAAATATAAAGATTATAAAATCACAATGCTTGTCTGGGCACTGGTGGCCTATGTCTAGCTACTTAGGAGGCTGAGATCCAGAGAGAGCCTGAGTTCAAAGGCAATGTGGGCAGAAAAGTCCAGGACTTATCATTTCCAAAATAATGAGCAAAGAACTGGGCTGGAAGATGGCTCTAGTGATAGAGGGCCAGCTTAGTGCTGACAAAGAAAAAAAAAAGCTTTACATATATTAAGTAAAAACTACCAAGCTATTGGTATATCTTCTATTATAATCCGAATATGTATCTCAGGTGACCAGATGCAGATCAAGCCGAAAGTGTCATGTCATCTGCTTATATAAAGTAGCATAATGCTGTTTTACATGTCTGATCATGTTGTAACCCTGACTGTAACACCCCAGGGGCAGTCTACTTACCTGTATTGGAATTACCTCCTCTGAAACCTACTTCTTTTATGGCAAACAAAACATCTTTGGCTGATGTAAAGTTTTTCAAGTAAAATTCTATTTTGGGATGTTCACTGTGATTAAAGAAAAAAGCAATTATCTAGGGAATATCAGAAAAGCAAATTAAACAACTGGGATTACAAGTGTGTCACAGCCATATCTGACTCTTATTGAGATATTTTTGAGGAATGAGTAAACATTTTATTTTTGCATAACCAATGGCAGAAATGTTGGGTCACAAAATCAGATTTTTCGGAGATAACCTTATCACTTTCATGGTTAATTTTCAACTATCAACTATCTTTATCACGCTTATGCTTTGCATCCTTAGTAATACAATAATCATTTTGTTCTTTTACAAACATATGCTCGTGGTTTATTTTCATGTTCTTCCTAAAGTAGAAAGTGTATAAACCAGGAAGTTTATAAGAAGCTAAAATAAGTACATGGCAATGTAGCTTACAGCTTTTCTGCGGTTAAATTAGCCCCTCAAAAATATAAGAAGTTGGGTGCCAGGGGCTCACACCTGTACTCCTAGCTACTCAGGAGGTCGAGATCTGAGGATCATGGTTCAAAGCCAGCCTGGGCAGTAACCACCATGAGACTCTAATTAACCACGAGAAAACCAGAAGTGGTGCTGTGGCTCAAGTGGTAGAGTGCTTGCCTTGAGCTGAAGAACTCAAGAGACAGCACCCAGGACCAGAGTTCAGGCCCCACAACCAACAATCTCTCCCCCCCCCTCTCTCTATATATATATGTATATACATATACACACATATATGTATATATGTATTTATCTATACACATATGTACATATATGCATATATAATACAAATACACATACAGTATCATGTATGCATTTATGTATACACATATATACATATACACACATATATGTATATATGTATTTATCTATACACATATGTACATATATGCATATATAATACAAATACACATACAGTATCATGTATGCATTTATGTATACACATATATACATATACACACATATATACGTATATATGTACATATCTCTATGTATATATATATATTACTACAGGGGAATTGCATCATGAGTTGTTAAAGTTTACAATAAAGTCAGACACTGGTGGCTCATGCCTGTAATCCTAGCTACTGTGGAGGCTGATATATGAGGATTGTGGTTCGAAGACAGATCACACAGGAAAGTCTGTGAGACTCTAATCTCCAATTAACCATCAAAAAGCTAGAAGTGGAGGTATGGTTCCAGTGGTAAGAGTGCCAACCTTGGGTGAAAAAGCATGAGACCCTGAGTTTAAACCCCAGTACCAGCACACAAACAAAACCAAAAATTATAATAAAACAATGACAAAGAGATGTAATCATATAAATCACAAGACATGAACTTGCTCAGATAAAAATGATGCTACAAACAAAACAATGGAATAAGGAGGTCATTTTTAAAAGGAGACATGGTTAAATTAGGTAAGAACACAGTTAAACTATCAAAACAAAAATTCCTATTATAACTGTGCAAAGACAATTTAAAAATAGTAAGAAATGAAATATAAATATTGGAAGTAGTACTGGTGGCATCTTTATGGACTGCTAAAGGTCTAAACTGATTCAACTTTCTAGAAAGCAATTTAGTTATAAACTTTAGAAATGTCAAAACCTCACATCTAGGAATTTAACCAAACGAAACAAGTAAAGATGGGCATAAAAGATGATATAAGGCTGATGATAAAGATAATACAGAGCAATGTGTAGTGGTTAAAAAAGTAGGACAATGATTAGTTACGCAAAAGACTATTATGAAACTTTTTATATTTATAATAAGAAAAATGACATACTAAGGGTGAAAAACCAGGACCCCAAGACATTTCTATACCCCAGCTTTTAAAAAGGAAATGCATACATACAACATGCAGTCAAAATTTTTCTTAAAATACTGAAAAGAAAACCTTTATTTTAAGATTATCCTGGGAGACACGGTTTGAAACTTTTAATTCTTTATATGTTTTTCAATCTTCCTATAGTGAGCACATTATGATTCCGAAAGCCATCAATAAATGTGTTTTTTGGTTTGGTTTGTTTTGTTCTCTGTTTTGTGTCAGTTATGGAACCTGAACTTGGCCTGGGCGCTGTCCCTCAGCTCTTCAGCTCAAAGCTAGTGCTCTACCACTTGAGCCACAGTGCCACTTCCAGCTTTTTCTGCTTATGTGGTGCTGAGGAATCGAACCCAGGGCCTCATGCATCCACTGAGCCACCTTCCCAGCCCACAATAAATGTTATTTTTAAATGAATGAAGGAAAAAGATCATGCATGTCTCCAACCAAGAAAATATGGCAAGTCCTAAAACAATAAATGGCAGAATGGAGGCTGGGGGCCTGGTTCAAGTGGTGGTATACCTGCCTAGCAAGAGTGAAGCCCTGAGTTCAAACCTGACTGGCAAAAGACCACAACCAAGCAAACTAAAAAGAAATGGCAGATGATGTAAGAGGAACAGACATACCATTGTTGCTTCCTTCAGATCAGAAACATTGCAAATTGAGCAAGATAGCATGCAATTCTCCAAATCTTTTTTTTTTCCCAAAAAAAACGAGGCACTGGGGCCTACTCAGATTGCCAGGCATTTTTTTCTTTTGTTTTTGAGATGCTGTGGATCAGATCCAGGGACTCACACATGCATGTCAAGTATCTGTACAGGCAGTCTTAAATCCTGAATTTAGAGTTTGGGAATTTAGCTGGTCCCAGAATTTAACATGTTTTATATTGAACTACAATGAATGAACCAGATTGATTAAGTTGTCATCATTCAAGATTATCAGTCACCTCCCATTGGAATGAAATTAGTACCTGGCTTGAACAAGGCCTACGTGTGGTCCTTCGATTCCAATTCCCAACATGAGAGCCACTTTCCCGACAAAATTCTTCTGTAAATTAAAGCGGCGCTGCCCAATATTAAAACTTCCATCAATCAGAAATGCAATGTCTGCTTTACAGTCTGTGAATACCCAAACAAGTCCTTTGTTAGTCTCAAGAAGGCAGAGGTGAAAGTGTGTGTGTGTGTGGGTATCATAGAAGTAATATCTTTATTTTATATATATATATATATATGTATATATGCATATATATGTTAAAATACCATAATGCACCCTATTAAAAATATCTATACAGGCCTGGTGCCAGTGGCACATGCCTGTAATCCTAGCCACTCAGAAGGCTGAGATCTGAGGATCACGGTTCAAAGCCAGCCTGGGCAGAAAAGTCACCAACTGTCTTATCTCCAATTAGTCTTGTCTCCAATTAACCTCTCAAACCAAATTGGAAGGAGAGCTGTGGCTCAAAGTGGTAGAGCACTAGCCTTGAGCAAAAAAGAGCTCAGGAATAGCACCCAAGCTCTGAGTTCAAGCCCCATAACTGGAAATTTAAAAATAAAGAAGGCAAAGGAAATGCCATGTTCTTACCTTTATTGCCGCTTTTCTTTGCTGGTGTTTTCTTTAGTCGTTTACCTGAAGCAAAGAAAGCACTTAACATGGGCAAGAGAATGACAGATTTATAACGAAAAAGCTCATGGAAGGAATGCTATGCTTAAAAAGACTCCTGCCTACCCTGGTGCTTGGGCCTTCTCTGCTTAGCTGGAGCTCTATATTTCAGCTTTGAATCTTGATACTCCAGATCTCAGCCTCCAGAGTACTAGGATTACTCTGTGTGTGTGTGTGTGTGTGTGTGTGTGCGTGCGCGTGTGTGTGCGTGCGTGTGTGTGTGCGTGCGTGCATGTGTGTGTGTGCGTGCGTGTGTGTGTGTGTGCGCGCGCGCTGAAAAAAGCCTTTTTTTTTAGGACTAGGACTTGAACTCGGGCTTTTGTGCTTGCTTAGAAAAAAGCATTCTATTCCTTGAAACACACCCTCAATCCTTGAAAAAACTTCTCATTTTTTTTTTCTTGGCTACAACTGGGGCTTAAACTCAAGGCTTCATATTGTCAATTCGCTTTTATTGCCTATAGTTGGTGTTCTATTACTTGAACCCTGTCTGGCTTTTTGTTGACTAACTGGAGATAAGAGTCTCATTGACCTTCCCTGTCTAATTGGCTTCAAACCTCTATCTTCAGATCTCAGCCTCCTAAAACGATTATAGAGGTGAGCCAATGGCACTCAGCTGTAAAGAATTTTTTAATAAAATTTTATTATTATAAAAAGGCTTTTAAATAGTTCACTCAGCTGGGCTCCAGTAGCTCATGCCTGAATCTTAGCTACTCAGGAAGCTGAGATCTGAGGATCTTGGTTCAAAGCCAGCCCAGGCAGGAAAATCTGTCATACTCTTTAAAAAAAAAAAAAAAAGAAAAAAGCTGGTGTTAGAGCTGTGGCTCAAATGATAGAGTGCTAGTCTTGAGCAAAAAACCTCAGAGACAGTGCCTAGGTAGAAAGTTCAAGCCCTAGACCCAGTACAAAAAAAAAAAAAAAAGTTTCCTTGTAGTTTTCTGATTGGGGACCGTGTAGGCCCCAACACTTGGTATGTCTCTATTCCAGAACTTTGACAACCTACACCAAAAGGGGTGCAGGATTGGGAAGTCCCAGCCTAATGTTCCATTTTTTTTACTTTAAAATGGCCATGCGCTAAGAAAAGGTGAGCCCTATGGATTTCTTCCTGTAGGTATTCCCTAATTCTTTTTATTTACACAACAGTAATCAAGGACTAAGGGAATTTAATGAAGCAAATGAAGGAGAAAAGTTTATGGTACTTGGACCAGTTCATAGGCCTTCAGAGAATAATTCGTAGCAGATTTGATCATTTAAAAAATACAAGGAGCTGGGCGCCAGTGGCTCAAGCCTGTAATACTAGCTACTCCCTGCTGAGATCTGAGGATCCCGGTTCAAAGCTAGCCCAGGCAGGAAAAGTCCGTGAGACTCTTATCTCCAATTAACCACCAGTAAACTGGAAGTGCCCTTGTGGCTCAAGTGGCAGAGCGCTAGCCACGAGCTGAAGAGCTGAGGGACAGTGCCCAGGCCCAGAGTTCAAGCCCCACAACTGACAAAAACAAACAAACAAACAAGGAGTCTGCTGGACACAGTAGCTATTACCTGTTATCTCAGCTACTCAAGAGGCAAAGATTGGGAAGATCAATATTTGAGGTCAGCCTAAACAAAAAGTTAGTCACACTTCATCTCAATCAATAAGCTAGATGAGGCGATATTCACCTGTGATTGTAGTTGGTGGGGGTGGGGAATGTTGGTTATAGATAGGAGGACCATGATCTGAGGTTACCCCAAATAAAAACACAAACTGCTCTCTGAAAAATAACCAGGGCTAAGGAATGGCTTAAGTAGTAGAGCTCCTGTATAGCAAATGCAAAGTCCTGAGTTCAAACCTCAATTTTTTAAACGATTTAAAAAGAAGACATTTGAAACATAAAACTGAATATATCTTTAATGTAAGTTATTTTTCTGTTTCTCTCACATAAATTGTTTAGAGGAAAGTATCACAACACATGTATGCTGGGCACCAGTGGTTCACACCTATCATCTTATCTACTCAGGAGGCTGAGATCTGAGGATCAAGGTTAGAAGCCACCTAGGGCAGCAAAGTCCATGAGATTCTTATCTCTAATTAATCTGCAAAAAGCCAGAAATAAAAGTATATGGGCACAGCTAGGTCCTGAGTTCAAGCATCAGAACTAGTACACACACACACACACACACACACATACACATATACACAGAGAGAATGCAATACATATAACTTCCAAATGCTCCCAGGCCAACATAATGTTCCATGCTTCGTACCTGTGGGTGGACGTGCTGTGGACACTGCCCTTCCTGTTGCTTCCTGGGCACTACTTTTGCCTTCTGTTAAAATAAAAAGAAGTCTATTATTTTTCCTTTTCCTACATCATCAAAACCTTATGAATCTAATTTGCAATTCCACAGTCTGCTATAGATAGGATTGCAGGTACAAACATCATGTAGCCTATTCATTTCAGAGAACCAAAATGGATTGAATTCATTTGTCTCGAAGTTTAGTACTGCTTGGTAAAGTACCTGGGCATTCGGACTGCAGACAAGTTCAAGTTCCTGTTGCCATTGTCTGACAGCCATTCTTTTCCTCATCTACCCATGTTGGGCTTGAATGGCACCAGCCTCCTGAGTCTGTATCATAGTGGATCAATGTTTGACCAGAGCTTTTTCTATCAGAATCAAAGGAGCTTGGCTAAGAAGAGTAGGAAACATTTGGGGGAACCTAGAGGCTGGGTGGCAGTGTTTATACACATGTGGGAACAATGTAATTGTACCTACTAGTCACTGTAAAGGAAGCAGACCACCTGGAAAGCGCCTGCGACTGGATGCTGTTGGCTTCTACAGAGGAATAGTTCTCCCGTCCAGGTAGGGTATAGACACGCACTGGTCCCCCTGAGATGCTGATTGCTCCCCTACAGCACAAGAAGAGCAGCTGAGACACCAGCCCCACTTTTCCAGGGCATCTGGCTGACTTAGAATGCCATGTTGCAACTATTGCTCTGATTAATCAAGAAAATAGCTCAGCAGGGAAGACATCAAAGAATGCTTGCTGCCAGCCTTTTAAAAACTTGCTTACACAGGAACAAAACATGCCTAGGGGAATAGTTTTGTACTGTCAAACTTTTAGAGTATTGATAAGGATACACTTGTAGTATCCTGTTTCCTACAGCTCAAAGATTCAGAGATAATAAAGGGTGACAGACAACTTTTCTAAAGTAACCTAACTACATGCCCTTGGACTACCTTTGGGAGGTGGGGTGGGGAGTGTGTATGGGGGGGATGATGGTACTGGGGCTTGAGGTCAGGGCACTACACTCTCACCCATTTTCCCTGCTCTAGACTGGTGCTTAACCACTTGAAGTGCATCTCCAGTTTGGTGGCTACTTAGAGATAAGGGCCTCATAGACTTCTGATGTTCAGGATGGCTTCAAACTGTGATCCTCAGATCTCAGCCTCCTGAGTAGCTAGGATTACAGGAGTAACCTACCAGTGCCTGACTTTTTTTTTCTCCTTTTTTTTTTGGTAAATATCACTGGCTGTTCTACTGCAGAATAACCATGGTGGTCTTGGGCAAGGTACTTGACAATTCTGAGTTTAGTTTCCTCATCTGGTAAAAGAAGAAACTATGTCTACCTTAAGATTGTGATGAAAGGTTAAAAAAAAAGCTGGCACATAGTTAAAAACTCCATAATGAATGATATGATTAGGAATCATGATTAGATAGCACGGGACTCTAAGGGCTGGGAAGGTGGCTCAGTGGTAGAGCGCTTGCCTTGCATACATGAGGCCCTGGGTTCAATTCCTCAGCACCACATAAGCAGAAAAAGCTGGAAGTGGTGCTGTGGCTCAAGTGGTAGAGCGCTAGCCTTGAGCTGAAGAGCTGAGGAACAGTGCCCAGGCCCAGAGTTCAGGCCCCACGACTGGAGTGAAAAAAGAAAAAGCATGGGACTCTAGCTATGAAGTAATGCAATTTACCTTTTGCCAGAAAGCTCCCCTTTACATATCTGATACTTCAAAGATACCCAAGAATACTTTAAAGATGTAATACTTTTATTAAAACAGCACTAAAGGAGAACAGGGAGGAAGGGAGTACAAATGGAAAAGGAAATAATGATGTTGCCATTGCTCCCTACCTGGTATCTGGTCTTACCTGTGGATGGCAGCCCCACAGATGCTGGATACAGAAGCATAAACTATGTTCCCAAACACAGAGAATTCCTCAGGAGGGCAGCCCCCGGGGCAGAGGACATCTGCTTTCTCTTTCCTGATGTCCAGGCCTCTGGTAGAGCATGTGATAGCAATGGGAGCTGAAGAGAAAGGAGAAAATGTAATCCGCGCCCGGACAACTCTTTAGGAAGTAGGTCAGAGAAAGTAGTACGTGAGATTCAAGTTTCACACCCTCTCCCTAATTGGCACACCTCTAGAAGGAATATTGATTTGTTCACACCATTCTAGATTTTAGCAAGTCAAAGTTGTCATATCAATTTAACCTAGCTCCTGTTCATGACAGAAAGCTACAGTGACCATTTTCTGCTTCCAATCAGTTTGAAAATGAGTCATTGAACATTTGTTTATTCTAGAAAAAAGTCTGAATTCTGATGAAACTGTGTACACAGTATCTAAGATGGAATCTCGGGGGGGGGCATTTTTATAGACAAAAAGCTCTCAAAGCTAACCTTTCCATTATGACATCCTGTAGCCTAGCAAAGGCAGATAATGAAAAGCTGGGTGCTGTGGTTCATGCCTATAATCTAACTACCCAGGAGTAGTTTGAAGTCAGCCCAGGGAAGAAAAGTCCATGAGACTCTTATCTCCAATTAACCACCAAAAAGCCAGGGGTGGAGCTGTGGCTCAAGTGGTAGAGTGCTAGCTTTGTGCAAGAAAGCCTAAAAGACAGTGTCCAGTCCCTGAGCTGAGTTCAAGCCCCAATTCTGGCACACACACACACACACACACACACACACACACACACACACACAAAGCACGTGTTTGCATAAACCAATCAGTAAAAGGGTGCTTAGATTCATGGACCGTTATTTAGTTCCTTTATGAACTTTACAGATGAGAAAACTAAAGCCATGGGTTAAGGTTAGTTTGCCCAAGGAACATTCCAAAAGAGCAAGATATCAGAATGAAGCAGTTTTATTTTAACCAAACCCAGTTGTTTCTGCCCTAGACCTATCCTAAGAGACATACCAGGTAGTGAGTATGGGCTCATTTTTAGAAAGCACTTTTCAAAACCTGGCACCAGTGGCTCACATCTGTAATCCCTGCTACTCAGGAGGCTGAGATCTAAGGATCGTGGTTGCAAGCCAGCCCAGGCAGGAAATTCCATGGGACTCTTATACTCCAATTAACCACCAGAAAACTGCAAGTGGAGCCGTGGCTCCAAGTAGTAGAGTGCTAGCCTTGCACAAAAAGCTCAGGGATGGTGCCTAGGCCCTGAGTTCAAGCCCCAAGATAAGACAAACAAGCAAGCAAGCAAAGAAAGCACTTGTCAGTATGCTCAGGTTTTACACAATGCCCCTGATAACCAGTCAGGTAGACTGTGTAAAAACTAGATTTTTATTTTTTCGACAAAAGATGTTGAGTAGACACATTGCATGGCAACGCGTGACCAGATAAACATGAAGACAAACGGTTCATCCTTCCATTCACTGCTGAAATTCAGTGGAAATGGACATGATTAAACAACATTTCCCTAAGACAGAGGAGAGTGGTTGTCCAAATGTTTGGAAACACGTTTCAAAAGGCCACCTTTTGTTTGAGAAGCCCCGGGGGAAGGCTGTCTGATCACGATGCCTTGGCTTGCTTCTAACAAGAACCTTCCCCCCCCCCCCCCCCCCCGCCCAACCCTTTCCCGAGCTCTGGCTGGAGCCCCGCGTGGACCGCGCCGGCTGGGGGGAGGGAGGGCGCCCTCGCCGCCCCACGCCGCCCCACGCCAGCCTCATCTCTCGTTCCAAGCCCTCCCTGGGAACTCGGTGGCTGCCACCCCCGCCTTCGTCGGGTCACGGGCACCTTCACGTCTACGGTTAAATAAACAACAGGGGTTCGAAACGCGTTGGTCCCTCACCCCGCAGGAAACACGGCGAACCGCACGCCCGCGCTCGGACACGTGCAGCAAACTCTTTAGACTTTCTGGCACACGGATGAGCTCCCCCCCCACCCCACACACCCCCAAGGCTGCTTCTTATGAGAGGTGACACCTAGCAAAACACCCCAGGGGGCCGAGCAGGGTGGCACACCGACGATCACCCCGCGCGCCGCGTTCTCCCCAGCCCCCGCCCGAACGCAGGGGACCCGCCGGGGACGCGGCGCGGC